CACACACACACACACACACACACACACACACACTCTATCTTGCTCACAACAACCAGTGATGATACAGTTACAAATCATTATTTATTAAGTGGATTACATATTTAGTATTTTTCTTTGCCAACAAATCACAGTTTTACACAAATATCTGAAGACAAATGTGTAAAACCAGGTGATATTCAGAGATAGAATTTCATAAAAAAGAGAAGAAGACAACATCCTCACAGATCCTCACATGTGAGCAGGGGAGAATGTGGAAAATGACATTTGGCACAAGCAGTTAATTAATTAATTGTCAAAATGATAGCGGATTAATTAAGCAATTATCTCCTCATCAAGTTCACAAACACTGCAATCCATAGTGGAAATCTTTTGTCTCTCGTGCCAAGATGTGACTTAATTTATTTGATATGAATGCCAAACAAGATTAGTAGTAGTAGTGTAGATTCAGCAATGTGCAAATCTTTCTATACAACATTTTCTAGAAATACTGAATATCATGGTAACACGAGTACAAACCCAGAAAAGACTTTGTCAACTAAAATGGTTTTAAAAAGGTCAAAGTTTCCGAATTTTTAGTTTAAGAATCCGAACAAAGATTCAACAATCAGTTCTTGACCATTTTTGACGATTCAGAAACCGAAAAGCTCTGATGTTCTGCTCCCATTCATCATTCATCTGTCACACAAAAGAACAAGTCAGTGCCGCTCAGTGGCCAACTTGGAAGTCCTGAATGTTTCCTACAGCAAACAAACACAACATCATAATTATGGCTTCAAAAAAACTGAACACAAAAACAAAGAATGTTCCGTGGCTGAAATCCCAGATTCAGATTACCACCAAAATCGAATCAGCTGCTGTTCGGCAGGTTTCGAGCCGCACATGTTTACAACCTGACGAACGGAGACGGAGAGGAAACGTGTTTAAAGCCTGTGAGGAGCAGACGAGCTGAGAGGTGCTGAGAGATTTAAGAGTGACCGCAACCATCTCAACTCATCCATACACACACACAGGGGAAAGTCCAACACACACACACACACACACACACACACATACACACAGACACACACACACACACACAGAAGGGAAATAAAGATATGTGGACAGCCTGGAGGAAACAGACACATACAAACCCACAAAGATCTCAACACTTCCTGATCCTTGGGCTAAATCTAAGTCATCATTACCAAGACAACGTTTCCTCTACACACTTGTTCACACACACATACACACACACACACACACACACACACACACATGCATGTACCTGGTCAGGGTGCCTGGGTTGCCGTGGGAACCAGGGCGCTGCGGGAAAACGCTGAGCTGTACAGAGAGCTTCATGACTCCATGCCGCTGAGAGAGTTCACTGGGCCAACTATCTCTCCCACTCCCTATCTGTCTGCCTCTCTTTCTCTATCTCTCTGAGCGTACTCAGAGTCTCTCACCCTCCCTCTCTCTCTCTCTCTCTCTCGCCCTGGCAGTCTTCCTAGTTCGAGCTCCTTTGTCACCGGTTGCACTTACGCTTCATCCCTGGGGCCCTGTTGGTCTCTCACTGGACTAACAGAGACTGAGGTGAGGGGGGGGTGAGGAGAAGGAAGGACCTGCCCTGGTGCTGGTAACATGAGCCTCCCCCGGGACTGTTAACCACTTCACTGCTGCAGCCTCGCCACTAATGGAGCACACACTGAAACGCACACTGAGACGCACACAAACACACCCTGAGCCCCAAATAAGCCACTTCAGCCTCGGAAGAATCAAACGGCAACGCAAGTCAGAGCCGCACGATCGCAGACGAAACCGGTGGACGATCCTCACGCCACTGCTGCTTCACTGTGTGTTTCCCAGCTATGGTTTGTGTCTGTGTGCAGGACTACAATTTCCCAGACAGATCCACCCTGACTAGCTGACAAGCCAGTGCTAATTAGAGATCAGGCCCAGCAGCGTGGCCCAGCCCACGGCCTCCCGCTGGCAAAGCAACCCGCCGGTTCACAACCACGGAGCCCTTTATGGCCAAATCACAGGAGACGGAGACATGAACCGCGGGCTGCCCCCGGGAGGAAGCGGTGCCAAAGGCAGGCCGACGCAGACTAGTGGATCATGACACTGAGGAAAAGAGGTAGAGCTCCTTGTGCTTCCTCTTAAAGGGTCAGTCCACCCAAATCACAAAAACACATTTCCTCACTCACCTCCAACCATTATCTGGCCACAAGAGATTTGGGATGTTGAGACCTCCACCATAATGCAATGGAGCTGAAGGAGATTTTGCAGATTTTAAAGTCAGTTATTCACTGTGAACTGAGCCTTTAAATCATCAGGAGTGTGGGGTACCTCACGCTCTGCAAAGAGGACGGTCGTAGAGGAGAAGTGACCCAAATCAAGACATTCCAGAGAGGAACCTCTTGCCGAGTTGCTTTTCCCAGAGGGGTCAGAGATCAGAGGCCAAACCTCCAAACTTTCCTTAAAGAGAGGAGCACTGTGGGGGGAGGCGAGGGGACCAGTGGAAGAAAAAGAGCTGCAGCCAATAAGAGTGTGTGGTAGTGTCCTGAGAAAGAGGCCGTGGTTGTGTTTGTTTAACTTCTCTTGTGTGCGTCCCCGAGGACTGTGGTCGCTCGGTCTCTCTCTCTCTCTCTCCATGCAGTACTGTAACACCCCTCCTGAAAAAACCCGTCTGTCTCTGGCACATGCTCGCAGGCACTGCGCCGCAGAATTATACACACAGACATGCGGCCATAACAGAACCATAGAGCAGAAGTAAGGGGATTTCCTGTGTTCGGGGGGCGACTACTGGTCCTCGCACCGCGTCTGGATCATATAACCCTGAGTCTCTATCCACACAGACAGACAGACAGACAGACAGACAGACAGCCAGACGGGACCACTTACAGTCCTCAGGGCAGACGTGGGTGTGGGAGCAACATGGATAAGTTGACAGGTGAGGTCTGCGTATATTCTACACAGCATCAGAACAGAGGAACCAGTGTTGTGTCCTAATCCCAAACAGACACTTACAAAACCCTCTCTTCCTATCAGGAAACATGGTTTGCATGAAGGCACAACATGAGAAACAAGTTTCCCCTCATGCAGCTCGGACCAATAAAACACGATGGTGTATCCGTTTTCACTGGAATCATATCTGATGATTAACGGTTTATAAATGTTTGTGATAAAAGTGCGACACATTAGCTGAATGATTTTCCTTTTTTTTTTTAAATTTTAAAGAAGCCCAACATCTTCAATTCAAATCTTCTCTAAACACAAACAGCTGCACGAGAACTTTTCCCCTGAATGAAATCAAGTCGGAAAATTAAGTTTTGAATTAAATCATGAAACTATTTGATCAAACAATATTAAACAAGAATCTGACCAGACATGTGATGATGATATGTGACTGTTCTGATGCTCGGTGCTGCACACACACGTCAGTTCGAAGTACTGAGGTTCGATATCCAGTCAAAGTGATGATATAATGAAATGGTTTTATTATTTCATAGAACTGTTAATTTAAAAAAAAGTTCATTTTGGTTAATATAGACTGACTCATACAGATTTTCACTGTGCCATTACATTCAAGATAAAAATGACCTCCTCATATTCTATTGTTTAACTTTCAATATATTAAATCAAATGCACTTCACAACCCTGCAAATAACCGAACCAGACAGAAATGCTGTTTAGTGTCTAAAAATGAAATGCTCAGTTTTCAGGTTGGCACAAAATTCAGAAGTGAAGAAACGCAAACTCAGTTTTAAACAAAGTTTTCTCACATCAGCGTCTTTTCGTGCAGCTGCTCTTTGCCTCAGGTTTCAGTTATTAGTTTCAGTATAGAGATGAAGCTCTTGACTGCTCACATCTGAAGTATGACACCATTACCTGCAGTGGAACATGTAAAGTTTTTTATATTAAAGAAATAAGAAAAAGTTGCACTACAGAAGCTGTTATTTCTTTCTTTCTTTCTTTTTTTTTTTAAATATAACTATAGTCAGGACAAAATGGGCACAGGGCGCATGAGGGTGACGGAGGCACAGACGGGGCCGTTGGGACGGGGCCCGGCACATTCCGGGACGGAGCACGGGAGCCCTGTGGTACAAAAATGACACAGCTGTCCCTGCTGTGACAAGAAGAGACCGAACTGAACTGGAAACACACATTGAGGAATGTCTCTCTCTCTCTGTCTCCCTCTTTCATTCCCTCTTTCTTTCTCCCTGTGTCT